GAGCAGGAACTGCCTTACCGCCGACACCTGCAGCAAGGGTAAAGCATGTCCATTTGTCACAGCGCACACACACATGCCAGCCAGGGATGCCCCAGGACACTCCATCACACACCCGCAGCAGCAGACCTGGCAAGCCAGGTGTCATGTGTCTGCTCCAGCACAGCAGCACCCCCTCCCCCCACCACCACGACAGATGCGCTGGCCACAGTGCCAAGCCCCAGTGTGGGCCCTGCTGAGGGTCAGACAGGCATCAGAGCCAGGACTAAGGGCATGGGGATGGAAAAGCGCCGGCTGGGGCTGGCGGCTCTGGGGCAGTGTGCTCCCACTCTGGGAGAGGGGAGGGCTCCTCGTGGGCTATCGTACCTGGATGGCTGGACGCAGCTGATCCTCTGCCAGCCGGCGTGCTGTGGAGCGGGGGATTCCATTTGGGATGCTCACTCTCCTCATGGCAGAGATGTAGGCCGGGAAATCTGTCACAGCCACGCTCTCTGTGGGACTAATGTCTACAGACACCAGGCGCTCCACAAGATCTGGCTGGGGACACAAGCGAGTGCAGGGATCTCACTCCAGCAGGAACCCTGCTCAGGGCCACAAGGATCCCGAGGAATGGTCAGAAGCCCCCCAAACAGATGCATCCCCAAGAAAGGCTAGCTCTGGGGAGGAGCTTCTACCCAAGGGCCTTCCAGCCCCGACCTGCCTGCCACTCCCCAGCGAAGATCCCAGAGCACACAATAGAGCGGACAGCGAAGGCAAAACAGGGCATTCATATCCAGTTTTTGTTTCCATGGCAGGGAGCTGTCAGCTAGCCCTGAAATGCAGCTACCTCTGGGGTGGGACATGACACAGTAACTCTGACTGTGAGACTGCAGATTAATTCCCCGGATGAAATGGCAGGGAGTCACAGGAGACAGAACCCAGCAACCTGACTTATGACAGTGGGTGTTGGAAAATGTGAGGGACTCTTTAAGCCCACAGGCAATGAAGTCCTCATTGGAGAGAGAGCAGCTGTAGGTGCACAGCAGCCCTAGGACTATGCTGGGAGGTTGCTTCTATGAAGATGCAGAGAGAAGAGCCCCTGGTACCGAACTCCCATTCCATTTCCTGCGGCGCCATGTGCTACCTGGGCTCTGCCATGAGAAGTGGTCAGATGGTTCCCACTCAGTTGAGGTGTGAGAAGATCCCAGCTCCCCCTAAATGGATCCCTCCTTAAGGCAGGATCCATTAGCTCCATGCGAGTAGCACTCTGGGGCAGTCATACAGAGGGAGCCTGTCCCATTGCGCTGTGCTGACTGTGAGCTGAGTGCATAGGCCAGGCCAGTGCCAGGGCCCAGAGAAAGGAACAAACTCCACCTTGCCTTCGCTCAGCCCCGCCAAGACAGCACAGGCTGGGCTTATTCCTCACAGAACAGCGACTATGACACCCCCAGTGTGCCCTCCTGCACCCCTAGGGAAGGGCGTTTGTGCTCCTTGTCAGGCCCTATGGCAGAGGAACCCATGTGGTGCGGGATGGGCAAACAGCAGCAATTGCCCCAAACTCTGCATCCTGCTGGCTGTTCCCTGGCAGCCGCACATGCACGTACCCGCTGCAGCGCCAGTGTCATGGCGGTTTTGCCGCCCATGCTGTGGCCAACCAAGACGCACTTGGGGATGTGCAGCCGGCGCAGGAGGCGCTGCACGTCCAGGCTCATGGCCTCGTAGCTCATGGTGGGGCTGTGCGGGCTCTCGCCATGGTTCCGCGCGTCCACTGTCAGCACCTGGCAAGGAAGAAAAGCTGCTGCAAGCTGGGCAGGGTGGGCCTGGCACTCAGGCCCTTGGCTGCCCCCCGGCCCTGCCCCTGGCGCTCACCTTGCGGCCGCTCCGCTGCACCAGGGCCCGGGCGATGGCGCGGAAGTTGCCCTTGCTGCCCAGCAGGCCATGCAAGAAGACGAGTGGGGGCTGTGGCGCAGGCCCGTCGAACACTACGTAGGAGAGGGGCAGTGGCCTGCAAAACATGGGCACTGAACTGGGCTGGGGGCAGGACATGGGCAGGGACAGGACACTGCTGGACTGGAGGCAGGACATAGGCCAGGAGCAGGACACGGGCTGGGGGCAGGACACAGCTGGGCAGGCTGGACCAGGGACATAGGATTACCATATGTCCGGGTTTTCCCAGACATGACCTCTTTTTTGGTAGTCTGCTCTCAGTCTGGGCACATTTTTCAAAGAAGTAGTAGTATCTGGGATTTTTCCTTGTGGATCAGTTGCAGCTCAGAAAGAGTCGTCTCCATGCCCCGATTGGTCCCTCCCCCGCACCGCAGCTGCCGGATCCTGCCTGCCCCGGCCCAGACCGCTAGGTAAACGGCGCCACCAAGTGCCTCTCAGCTGGGCTGCCTGCCTGCCCCTCCACGACCTCAGAGCCCGGCTGGGAGGGTGACAGCGCCAGGCCCTGGCTCCCCACCCAGCAGAGGAAGAAAGAGACTCACAGGGAGGTGCTCACTGACAGGCTGGTGCCGCATCCCTGGCCTGCCCAGTAGCCCTGCCACCATGACAGGGAGCAGCACGCTGCTCAGCACCTGGAGAGTGAGGCCACAGGTCCCCCTCCAGC